CCCCGCCCCCCTTGTCCGGAAACCCTACTGCCAACCCGAGGGAGCAAAAACCGAAAACAAAATCTCAGCAGTGGCTTGTGCCGTGGCATTTTGGTGATAGAAAAAGTGACTGGGGAGGGAGCATGCTTCCAAGTACCAGCACTAGTTAATGGGGGAGCAGTGTGAAACAGAGCAGTTCTTCTTGGCCCAGAGCAGAAGGGAACGGCCGATTTTAGAGCAAAGAGCTGGTGGTTTACACCTGGAAATTGGAAGCCTTATGCCAGTTGGGATAGGAGGAGCCAGGGCTCCCTGTGGCCATGCCCTCCTGCTAGCAGGTAGTTGAGCACCATAGGCTCTTTTGCACTTGTCCGGAAGGATCCAGAGCGTACCTCACACGGGAGTGAGATTTTGATGCATAAGGACAAGGAAAGCTTGCCTCGTAATGAATAAGCGGGAGGGTAACATCCTTCTCTGCTCTTAGGAAATTGCTGGCTTTGGGAGGGGTCAGCTCTGGTATGTGAGGGCCGGTCTGCAGCCTTCAGAACTGAAAAAAAAAAAAAAGAAAAAAAAAAAAAGAGGAAAAAAACTATTAGAGGCTTGCAGGCTGCAAGTTCCTATGAGCTCCTGGGTGTCTGAAGATTTAATCCCTGCTGTCCTCCCTGTCAGCTGCTGGCCGTGGTTAAACACAGTAAGTCCTGGCGAGTGGTGTATGATGGACCTGCCTGCTTTGACAGCCACCTGCCATACTTCCTCGTGGTAGGGGGATGTCAGCTGCCCCTGGGTTTTCCTGCAGGGCAGGCAGACTTATTTCTGCAAGTAGCCCTTTCTTGGCATAGCTTGGGTGCCCTTTGTGCCTGGCCAGTGGAGGAGGGATGGCTGGGGGACAAGGGAGTGCAGCTTGCCTTCCTTCGGGACTTTTTGGGTCTTTGGGGTGGAGTTTATTCTCTTTCAGTTCTCTGAGCTAAGCTCAGTTGGTTAGAACATGGTGCTAATAATGCCAAAACTGAGGGTTTGATTCCTGTGTGGGCCATTCACTTAACAGTTGGAGTCATGATCCTTTTGTGTCCCTTCCAGCTCAGAATGTTCTGTCGTTCTGTAGTGATTATTCCTCTGAGGGGAAAAGAAAATATTTCTTTTTTTATTTTAAGTCAGCTGAAGTAGCCTTAAATTTCCACAGGAGGGGTGGGAGAACAGGGGGAGGAGGGGTAGTGTGTGAGGTTTTAGAGGTGAGTGACAGCCTTGCTGTGTGTCAGGGCACCATGGTATCCTCATGAAATAGGCTGAGCCGCAGGTTGCCCGTGTAATGAAGCTTTGTAATGACAATAAGGACGTAGTATCTGTCTGGGGTGTGTTTGGTGCCCTTGTCTCTTTGTTATCCTTGCAGAGGCGTGCAGTCCGCACTGTCACACCTATGCCCAGGTGCTGTTCTCCTTTCCCATACCAGTGGGCTGTGTTAAGGCGAGCAAGGCTCACCTTTCTTTATTTGGGAGTTTAGTCTTTCTTTTAGAGGCAGGACGGAAAAGTGTTTGCAAGGTGGTACCAAGATACTGACCTTGAGTTTGTGTTGCCTGGACTAGGTGTAATCATTTGCAAATTGATTAAAATTGGTGGTCCAAGTGAGAGTGTGGTGAAAGGGATATGTTTACAAAGCAGTATGATATACCTGAGGGGAAGAGGAGTTACCTTTTCTATGTACACTACAGACAAAGCATCTGCATGACTAAATGTGAAGTGTGAAATTATCTCTATGATGATCTTTATACTTCAAAGACTGGACTTGTTTTAGTCTTCTCTTTTACTACACACTTTACAGCAGGCTTTCCATTCCATCTCCCCTTGTAGGCTGAATTGAGTCAGAATAAAAAACTTTAAAAAACCCACAAAACAACAACAAAAAACTTAGGGCATTTCTTTTCCTGCCGTAAGTGCCTTTTCCTGTTGTCTTGGGAAGTATTGTCTCTGTTGGCAGGACATTGACCAAGATTTTTGTAAATCCAGAGAGAAAAAAAATTGTATTGCAGCTCCTAATCCTCAAAAATGCTAAATATTTGCCACCTGCCATCGTCTTCAAGGAACTGCTAGTGCTCAGCAAATTCTGCAAGTCCTGTTATTTTTTTTCTCCTAGAGATGCAAACACAAATTTAGTTTTATATGTATTCAAGAGGGGAAGAAAACAAACTCCCTAAAGCAATCTGGTGATTCTCAGAATAAATTCACAAGAATGTAGCCTGAAATTCCCATGGGTACCAGGTTACTTTTAATTGTTGGGGCCTCTTGTAGAAGTTCCCATGGTGGGTATTTTTCCTCTGTGTATAGGTCATTTCCAGCCGTTTCTTACTTGGCACTGTGCTTATTCCTTCTTTAAGACAATAAACTTTGTTGACAAATAAATCCAGTTTTGATTCCTCTCTCTGGGCTGATTCTCTAAGTCTCTTCCCAGTTTATCAGTACCCACATGCCAGTTATATCTCTAGTTTTCAGTTTGCACACTGGTATTTTTGTCCAAAGTAGCTTGTATTTGATTTTTCAGAGTAGTTGTAAGACTCAATACTTTGGA